AGATAAAAGCGGAACCAAACATTACAGCCAATGAAACTACTATCACTACCACCAATACAATCACAACCAACTCAAAAATGGCAAGACAACCAAGATGTTCCAGGCAACAAAGTTCCTTGTAAAGAATCCTACATACACCTGCCCTTTTTCCTTTCATGCAAGGGTTAAACATTACATCACCAAATGCAACAATAATTTTTTGTTGGGATCATGACCCCTTGGTGATGCAGGTCTTGGTTATAAATATTCCGAGTTTAGATCTTCAAAACGCAATATGATGAGATTAGAAAATATATGTAAAAAGATTGATGGAAGACTTGGTAGTCCTCTGCATTTTGTGCTCAACTGCAAAAATTGTAACACAGTCTGGAATAGAGATGACGAAATCTTCATTATATTGCAAGGCAGCAAATGAAAACAGGCAGCCAAATATTTTCACACAATCAATGTCAACCATTGGCTAGCTCAACTTTAGTCAAACACCTTTCTATTTGTATAATTCTGCGGATGGAAAATATAGTTGTGTTGCAAATTTTAATTTGTGTTACACGCTCCACTGCTCACACATTTATTAATAAATACTGTAATAAATAATAATGAATTTATTTTAATTATATATAATAAAAATGGAAAATAAATCATCAACAACAGCTACAACAACTAGTAATAATACCAATACCATTGTGAATAACGATAATATTCATAATGGCAATGAGACAAAGAATTTACCAGATACTAGCAAACCTAATAATTACTTAGTTTCGAATATTCCTCCTTTAAATCAAGAAAGAGAAAAAATTGTATCGGATATTTTGGATTTATATTCTTGCAAACCATCTGAAGAAAAATTCAATCACTACTCTAATGATGTCATGTAAGTATGCGTGAGCGAATGAAAAAGAGAGCGCATATATTTATATACATATCCGGTTCTAATAAATATATTTTGCAAATTAGATTTGAAGATCCACTCATGTACTGTACAGGAATCAAAAATATCAAAGCTCAATTTTATGGAATGCCAAAACTATTTACAAATTCTGTAACAGAAACTCTTGAAGTCCAACAGAATGATTCGAATATACTAAAGTTTAGTTTTAATCAATGTTACACTTTGCCATTACTCAAAAAAAACAAAGTACAAAATAGTGTTGTTATACTGGAATTTAATAATGATAATGATGGTCAAGGGAAGAAAATTAAGAAACATTCAGATTTGTGGGATGGGAAACCTTTGCCTGTTAATGGTGGTGTAAGTGTAAACATATATTTTTCATACAGTTTTTATATATATTAGAATTAAATGAATACTTTTTTTTTTCCTTTCACATAATGAAAAAAAATAGGTCATACGTAAAACTCTTGCTAAATTAGTATCAACTTGTATTAAAATTCCTGAAAGTTAAAATAATAAATCGATGGTGCTAGTTGTTTGCATACTTTTATTATTATCATTTCTCTCTTTTGCAAGAATTATCTAAAATTTTAAAAATAAGTTAATTATATTAATAATAAATACCTTTGAAATAACCCGATAATTATCCATGGATTGCTTTTGAGACAATATTTAACAATAATAATAGCCTCCTTACCAGTGTAAACCAATCCGAAGCTGATAAAGAAGAAAATAAACACAGTCTAAGACGTGAAGATCGGTAAAGCCACATGTAACTTTATTTCTATTGTAAGTTTCCTTGATGTGTGAAAAAAAGAAGTGCAATACACATATTTATTTATCTAACAGCAGGGCTTCATGTGGAGGAAAGTTAGGGTTGGGTTAGAATTCCGGTTCAATGTGCAAAGATAATCACAGCAAAAGTATTACAGATTTTATCGACGTCATAAATGTAACTAATACAAATGTATTGAGGAATCTCACCACCAGGTAATGTCCAGAAAGCTACACGTCTATGGTTATACCTATACATTCAGCCCAAATTGCTAATGTCGAAAGTCAAAGTTGACATTATTATTATTAAATTTGTTATTTGGGATATTAGGGTGAGGGTTTCATTGTTTAAAAAAAAAAAAAAAATTACTTTGGGTCAGTGTGAAAATTTCGGAAAAAAAAATACGTTATATTCATAGATGGGTGTTTTAATCTTAAAATGATATAATGTAAGGAATACTAGACGTCTTAATCAAATTTGGATCATAAAATTTGTATATAAAGGAATTTATATTTTAGATATTTGTCAAAATTAATTTGTCCTTTTGATTCTTTCAGTTGACCCTATTGAACCTGCTAATCCATTTAGTTCTTAACCTTCTAATTCAGCATTCCCATCCACCGCATTCTATTGAACCTGGCTTTCAGAGTCTCCTATAAAAGATTTGTTATTTTGTATTGTATTTCTGGAGCAGCATAATTTTTAGAATGGGATTTTTTCATGATCAATTCGCCAATCCCAATCTTTTTCTAAAATTAAAGTTGTCACGCCAAACTTTCCAGTCCAATAAGTCAATCCAAATTAATTAAAAATTTTTTACTATGCCGATTGGATTGGATGACAATTTAATGGTTTATAGTAAGGATACATATGGTCAATAAAAATATTAAATGTAAAATAATAAAAATGCGAATATAAAAAGAACTATATAGGTCACATGTCCGACATACGATTGGACGGTACTTCGATAAACCCATTTTATCACAATATAAAACTTTTTAAGTTTCGTCACTAATTTAGGAGCCTAAATCGTTACGCAAGACACAATTCGTGATGTATGTATGAATTAATTAAAATTCTTTATTTATTACATGAAAACTAATTTTTTTAATTTTTAATGTAACATCAATGTTTCATAGCCAAAAAGGGTTTGTTAGCTAATAAATTCTGAAATTATCATGA